CTCGACAGTCCACCTGTCCTCGTCGTCGGCAGCATCCGACAGCACCACTCCGGGAGCCTGTGGGCGCCACGCGGCACGACCAGGAGGCACTTGCCGGGCGGAGAAAAGGGAAGATGACACAGCGGGAGCAATGAAGGAGGGTGGGGTCGACAATTGGGGAAAGAAGAATAACCGACATTTCTAGCCGAAACATGATGGCCCCGGAGCCCCATAAGGGTCTCCAAACTCAGACGACTACTAAACGTACCCGTTTTGATTGATTGTTCAACGCGGTAGATGTATGGGTCGTCCTCCTCCTCCTCCTCCTCCTCCTCCTCCTCCTCCTCCTCCTCCTCCTCCTCCTCCTCCTCCTCCTCCTCCTCCTCCTGCATTATTCAGCATCCTTCCTCCTTCTCCTCCTCCCACCTCCTCCCTTGTTATCCTCACCCTGCTCCCCCGCCTCCTCCTCCTCCTCCTGAAGCAATGAGGCAATGACGGCAATTGGGTTCTCCGAACGCTGCCGCTTCCCCGAGGGAGGCCTGGTCGGGCCCCCCTGAGCTCCTCCTCCTCCTCCTCCTCCTCCTCGTCCTCCTTCTCCTCCTGGATAGATTCCTCCTCCTTCCTGATTTCTCATCATCCCTCATCCCGCCTCGTCCCTCGAAACTCACTACATCATCCCTCGTCTTCTTCCCTTCTCTTCCTCCCTCAGGAACCTATCTCATCCTCCCTCATTACCCATCCTCCTTTTTTCACTCCTCCTTGTTCTCCCTTCTCTTCCTGCTCCTCCTCCTTCCTCTCATCAATTCTCATCGTTCCTGTTCCGTTCTCCTCCTCCTCCATCTCCTGACCTCCTCCATCCTCCTCCTCCTCCTCCTCCTCCTCCTCCTCCTCCTCCTCCTCCTCCTCCATCCGCCTCCTCCTCCTCCTCCTCCTCCTCCTCCTCCTCCTCGTTCCCCCTCCTCCGTCATCATGCCGTCCCCGGACTGCAAAACGGCGTCGCAGTCGGCACGGCCGCGGAGCGGCCTCGTGGAAGTCGGGCTCCTCGCGGGCCTGGCAGCGGACTCGCAGGTCGCCGCTACCGCCGTCGCCGCCGCCGTTTCGCACGGCCTTTAGGTGGAGGAAGACAAATCCCAAAGGTCCCAATACCGCTGCTCGACCTGGGGGGGGGCGGGGGGCCGTCGCCACGGCTAGATTATCTTCGAAATCTTGGTCAGGATGCGCCCCCGAACCAAAGAATTCTGGCTGCCGACCGCACGCAGCCGCCCCCAGCCTGAGCCGATACACAAAAAATAAGTGGACTCGGGCAGCGAGGCAGGTGCATGTGTCTTGGAACAGTTACAGGAAAAGTCTCATGATATTGGTGGAACGTGTAGATGAGGTGCACGTCGGCACGCCGAGCGTCATAGACGTTCGAGAAGGAAAAAACATCATCATAAACGTTCGAACCTCGGCGCAAATTGGCTGGATCAGCGCTGCGACCTCCTGGCGGCGCCTCAAGCGCTGCCCCCTGGGGGAGGGCAATGCCGATTCACGAAATCGGCGCGAACCCTCGACCGTGTATGTGTATGGCGGTTGTTGTTCTCCGATGCCTTCCTCATCTTCTCCTCGACCTTGCACTGTCCTCCTTGTCCGTTCTTTTCCAGCCCCTGCTCTACCTCTTCCATCGTATCGCCCTAGCCATCCTCATCCGTCTTCTCCTCCTGGTGACGCAGACGTCAAGCGCACGGGGAAGCATGGAAACGGAGGGAAGGGCAGCAAGGAGAGAAGGAGGGAACGGGAAGGGCGGAGGGGAAGGGAGTTGGAATACAATGAGTTCAACGGCTTGGGCGATGACAACGAGAACAATAAGACGAAGGCGATCACGACGAGTAACTACCACAATGGCGAAAATAAGGACGAATGAAAACGCGACGGACTCCCTCCTCCGCCAGGGGGTGGGGCTAGGCCGCGCCCAGACGCCCGATGACATGATTTGCTCAACACGCGAACCCCAGGACTGTCGGGGGCTGCCAAGAAAAGAGTGTCCTAGAGGGGGGGGGCACAAATCATGATTGGCGGCATGTGCGCGGCCCAAGGAGGGGCCCCAGGACGTAAATAAAACAAGAAGAGGCCCCATGAAATCTGGAGAGATGTCGTGGCCCCCGCCATGATATCCAACCCCCCTAGTCATCACCCCCCTCGTTGCCGCCCCCGAAGGACTCTCGAGCCCTCCCCGAGGACCGGTCATTTCGCCCACGTCGTTCTTCGATAAGCTTAGGTCGAGCTTGTCACCCTACAGGCGGATTCTGGACGAAAAATCAAATGCACCCAAAAAACAATCAAACATATTTGAAAATGGTCAACACATCGCCCCCACACTATTTTTCTAGTATTTTGGAATATTCCTCCTGTAGAGGGACAAGCCCGACTCAACGATACGCCCAGGGCTGGCCCACGGCCCCCGCGGGCCAGAACGACGAAAACAACCGAAAGCCTTCAGTTCACGAGCAAGGCTTCCGCACTGAAGCATCATTTCCCCAAGCGCAAGAGGGGGGGTGGGGATGGACGGCTTCCCTTGGGGCTGTAGGCAACCCGAGGAGAAGGAAGAGGAGGAGGAGGAGGATGAAGAGGAGGAGGAAGAGGAGCAGGAGGAGGAGGAGGAGCAGGAGGAGGAGGAGGAGGAGATGGAGAAGGAGGAGGAAGAGGAGGAGGAGGAGATGCAGGAGAAGGAGGAAGAGGAGGAGGAGATGGAGGAAGAGGAGGAGCAGGAGGAGGAGGGAGGAGGAGGAGAGGAGGAGGGAGGAGGAGGGAGGAGGAGGAGATGGAGGAGGAGGAGCAGGAGGAGGAGATGGAGGAGGAGGAGGAAGAGGAGCAGGAGGAGGAGGAGGAGCAGGAGGAGATGGAGGAGGAGGAGGAGCAGGAGGAGGAGGAGCAGGAGGAGGAGGAGATGGAGGAGGAGGAGGAAGAGGAGCAGGAGGAGGAGGAGGGAGGACGGAAACCCTGCAGGTGGGGGATAGCACAGGGGAGATGGCAAATCAGCTGCACGTAGCTGGGTTTCACGGCGCCCCCCGGCACCAGGAAGAACCCGGCGGGCAGGGCACAGAGCGGAGGGGCAGAGAGCTAGAGGGTGGAAACTGAAGTGCAGAGGGCGGAGCGTAGAGAGTGGAGGGCACGCGCACTGCAGCGACCACAGACACCGCCATCGGCTGCCGCCCACCATTGGCACGCTGCCCACTCTACATCCCACGAGCGCATAACTGGGAGGAGATGGAGGAGGCGGATGATGCTGATGCTGATGCTGATGCTGATGCTGATGCTGATGCTGATGCTGATGATGATGATGATGATGATGATGATGATGATGATGAGGAGGCGGAGGAGGAAGAACAGGAGGAAGCCCTCTCCTGTGCTCGTGAGTCCCAATACGTTTGACACCCAGCGGTGGGGAGCAGCGGCCACGCGCAAAGGGCACTCCCGATGCAGTGACGACCTCTGCTGCGCGGCTCGCCGATCGGCCCATGCAGCTCGACATTGACGGCCCGCATGCTTCGGGGGCGCGCAGACATGTATTGGCGATTCATGGATTTGGCGCGCGGTCGCCAAATCCATGGACCTGGAAGCCCGAAATGGGTACGAGAAACATGGGTACGATGCCCGACAGCAGTGTTGTCCAAAACCGAAAGCGACCGATGTTGGGCAGGCGGCTTTTCGTCTTCTATGGATGGCGTCCTCGGGTGCGCGGACAGCGAAGCCTGTTCAAAATGAACAGGAACTGCTGTCGGTCTTTGTAGCCGTCCTTTCCATCCCGTTTCGATCGGCCCGAATGCATCGGGGGAGGCGCCCTCCCCAAGATGCGGCCGGTGCCGCCTCGCTCGGCGGAGGGAATCCGCGATTTCCCGCGGAAACGGGACCCGTCGCTAATCCACACCCCCTGGATCCCTGCCTGCGATCGCCGGAACGTGTGCGTCTGCCCCCCACCCTCCGACCCTGGCGCCCCGCGGCGGGGCCCAGACCAGCTGCGCGCAGCAGATGCATGGGCCGCCCTGCTTGCCGAGAGCGAAGAATGGCACAAACACATAAGAACTCGGAGGTCCGCGCGGAATTCTCGGATCCGCGCTGGACGCCCCTCCCTGGCGCGCGGAGCGCGCCAGGGGCGGCGCCGGAGGCGCTGCCAGGACGGTCCAGGGAGGATCCGAGAAATCCGCGCGGGCCATCGGGTTTTTCATGCTTGCGAGAGCTGGTTTCTCAATGCAGACGTTTCTAAATGATGCGGTTGGCGTGCCGGGGAGGGGCCGACCCACGACGCGCGCTGCCAGACAGGAAGGTTTGAAAAGCAACTCCCAAGCACTTCGGCAGGGTCAGTGAACTCATGGGCTGGGGTTGCGGGAGTCACAACAGACGGGTGGGAAAACTTTGAGCAGAAATGGGCAACGATGAACAATGCAACGCACCTTCTACATCTCACTCTCCTTAGAGTCTAAGCCAAACCATGAAAGTTCATTTCTCAGTGCAGACGTTTCTATATGATGCGGTTGGCGTGCCAGGGAGTGGCCGACCCACGACGCACGCTGCCAGACAAAAAAGCTTGAAAAACAACTCCCAGATCCATTACACGTCCCGAGCCCATCTTATGCTCTCCGAGAACATTGACCTCTGCCGTAAAACGAGGCACGAAACACTTCAGCCCATTTCTTACAGAGAAGGCGCGGTGATGGTTATGCGATTAAAATCCAACGTTTGCCATGTGGGGCCTTCCCGGAGAGCTCGAAGTTGGGGGCCCCAGATCGCGAACATATGCCGTGACCTCGGCACCTTCAATGGGCGAAGCTAGAAGAAACCTCCTCAGGCACGTGACACATCGCAAACTTTTTCCTACGGGTCCCAAACAAGCCAAAGTCAACGACAGCAACACTCATAGAACGATTCCAACAGAGCGGTATCACCGCAGGAGAGATCCATAGCATAAAGTTAAAGAGTTCTCCATTATACATGGGATCCGCTGGCGCAGGCACAATCTAAAAACTTCCAACGATAATAAAGTGAGGACGTTGCCAAAACGCACTTTCTCCTGGCCCCCTGGGGACAGCCCTGGCTGGCCCAGCGGATACTCATTGGAACGCAGGGGGCCTGGGCATCCACGGCGAGCACGACTCAGTGTCTGGCACTGCGCGGCGAAGATCACTGCGTTCACATTCGGGCGGATTCGATTAAACACTTGCCGCTATATCTTAGGCCTGATTGAATCCGAGTCTCATCACTTCCTTTAAGACACCTCCACCGCCCGCGTGGATGTCCTCCGATTGCCAGACCACGGAACTGCGGGCGGGGCGGGAGGCAGCCTTCCGTCCAAGAACACGCCCTTCATACTCCTCTCGCACCAGAGGCAGTGCTTTTGAAGCCGGCGAAGGGCCTTTGCCACTGGCCTTGCACGCGACCTCCCTTCCCGGATCTGGCGACGCTCTCGCGGCTGCCCCATCGCCCCCGCCTCTGGATATCGATATCGCCCGTGGCGCGGCGGGGGAGGAGCTGGTTCCGCGAGGCGCCGCTGCGCCCGAGCTGGCGCGGCACCAGCTCGGGAAAGGCAAACTTCACAACGGCCATAACTGCTTCAGATACGTCGCGCACGCGTAGGTGAACACCGCCTCGTCTCCTGTCTTGCCCCGAACGAGCTGGCGAAGCATCTGCGTGGTCCAGGTCTCTTCCTTGCCCCAGAGAGCGGCGCCCTCGTGCAAGCCAACTTTGGTTGGGCGCAAAACCTCGGACGGCCTGATCACAATGGTCCAGCACGGTCCGATGTTGGGCGCTTGCGGGATGACCCATGTCGCCTTTAGATAGCGAGTCTCGCCTGGTCGCCCGTAGTCACCAGCGACGCCATGACCTGGGCGGCCATCGCGCGGCAGCCCTTCTTCAATAATTCGCCCATCACCGCCGCCCACGCTGGCCGCGCCTCGGGCAGGCGCGGCTGCCCGGGTGCCAGGCGGCCCCAGCCCTGGAGGGCGCGGTTGGCACGCGGCAGTTTTGCGGGCCCGCAGCGGCCGCGCTCCGGGAACAGCCCCTCGATGGTCGCCAGCAGGAGGTGACCTGCGCTGCCGCCCCAGCCCTCGAAGAACTTCTCGTCGAACACCTCGATCAGCGCGCGGTCGAGCTCCTCCGGGGGCCCAGCGAGGGACCGAGCCTGCTGCAATCGCTTACAAACGACTGACACTTCTCCTGGTAGAGCTGGTCGGCCCGATCGGACGCGGCCTTGACCTGCAGGAATATGAGCGGCCGAGGGCTCCGACCTACGCTGAGTAACGATTCTGCCTCAAGAGGACGGCCCTCGCGTTCTTCGTTTTCGGCGGCGGCGTCAACGGCAGGCCGGGAGGCAACCTCGGCAGCGTCCTCGGCGTGCGTCGCGGCCTCTGGGGCATCCACGACTCCTCGATCGCCGAGCGCCCGTTCGCAGCCAGCCGCCTCCCCTCGCGGCGACTCGTCGTCACGGTCACAAGCGCGGCAGCCAGGGGGCCCCCCATCCAGCCCTGGCGCTGCCCGCGCCAAGCTCATCGCCCGCCCGCGGTCGCTTCGAAAACAAGGCTCGAAACGTCGGGGGGGCCCGCCCGCCGGGCCGAGCTCAGACGGGAGCCAGCGAACGAGGCAACAGACGTCGAGGGCCAGGCGCAGAGAACACCACCGACGGCAACGCAAGTTTAGTTTGTAATAGAAGTCCCTTCCGTTAGCGAAAGCCAGAACTTCTACAATATTATCTCGTAGAAATAAGACGCGTCGACTCCCGGATCCAGGGCGCTTGGCGAGCCTATTCAGGGCCCAGATCATTCCCTTGGCCTCTAGGATGTGGATGGCCTCCTTCCGAAAGAGCTGCCCAGCGAACGCAAACCTCCAGGCGCTCTCGTGGATCTAGTCGGGGCCGATGTCGGGGAACGCGGGGTCCCCCTCTCAGAACTCGTCGGGCTCGTTGGCCCCCATCGGGGGCGAAGACAGCCATCGGGTCGTTAAAGGCATGGCGGCTAACGAAACCTCAACCTCATCGGTGCGCCTAGCTTCTTCTACTTTTTCGCCACTCCATTGCGCCTCCACCACTCCCCACCCAGATTTTTTTTTTGTTCAATTCTATTTTTTTTTCCCGAAAATCTAGAAATGAAATTTGTTTTCTGAAACTTTTTCCGGCCACGTTCGAGGTGCATGCGTTTCGGATGGCACGCGCGTGGTCGGCCGTTTGGCCGCGAACGCGCGCAACGCGCAGCGAAATCAAACAACATCCGCACGCTTGAGCCATGCGAGGAGGAGGGGGGGAGGAAGGGAGGAGGGCGACGCGCACGCGTGGTTCTATACATCATACGCGGAGAGGATTTCGGCGCGATGCCAGCATGAACGGCTTGTCGTTTATACTGGCACGCGCGCTATTCATAAATTCTATGATGGGTGTCATCCACTGTTTGTGGTAGGTTGCGCGGCAGTAAAAAAACAGTGATATCGGCGGACCGTCCGCCCAAACAAAAAATAGGAGGATGATAAGGAGGAAGAGGGGGAGGAGGAGGAGGAGGAAGAGGAGGAGGAGGAGGAGGAGGAGGAGGGAGAAGGAGGGAGGAGGAGAAGGAGGAGGACGAGGAGGACGAGGAGGAGGAGGAGGAGAAACATATGGATATAAGATGGCAGAGTCCTGCCGAGGAGGTGCCCAGGACGGCGGCACACGCGACGGCAGGATGCAGGGCGGCTGCGTGATGCAGGGGGTATGGGTGAGAGGTCTGGGTAGCGTGCAGGTGAGTTTCGGGTGAGATTCGGGTGAGTTTCGGGTGAGATTCGGGTGAGTTGCGGGTGAGATTCGGGTGAGTTTCGGGTGAGTTTCGGGTGAGATTCGGGTGAGTTTCGGGTGGGAGTCGGGTGAGTTTCGGGTGAGTTTCGGGTGAGATTCGGGTGAATTTCGGGTGAGATTCGGGTGAGTTTCGGGTGGGTTTCGGGTGAGTTTCGGGTGAGTTTCGGGTGTTTCGGGCGGGTGTCGGGCGAGTTCGGGGCTGCCCGAGCTTCGGGGTCGAGGCGTTTCTCGTCCTGTCGGAAACCAACAATGTCGAAGTCCCGTTTGCCAAAACGAGCAAGCAGCTTCGCCGATCAAAAAAAAACTTTGGCCAACAGCTCGGGTGGCGTCGGCTTACTCTCGAGCTCTGCCTGCCACTCTCCTGGTTTGTCCTTCCCTGCTCTGGCGTGTTTCACCTGATGTCGTCCATCTCCTGTTTCTTCTGCTGCTGCTGTTCCTCCTCCTCATCTTCTCCTCTTCCTCATTCTCCTCCTCTCCTCTCCCTCCTTCCCCTCCCCCCCCCTCCTCCTCATCTTCACCCTCCTGATTGTGGCTCGAGCTTTATCGCAGCCGACTGGGCTGCAGCACCCTAGACACCACTCGCGTGCTTCACGCCGAGCTCCGAGCGACTGAGCCGGGGCCTGCACGATGACTGAGCACACACGCGATCGCGATTGCGACCGCATTCATGGACATCGCATTGCCCGTTGCAATCATGAGTTTCGAACGCGGTATGCGATCGACCAGCGATGGCTTAAACCCCTGCAGCTGGCACCGTTCCTGCGGGGACAGATAGCGTCGGTGGGAATTCCAATCCCCCACAGCGAACACAAAAAGGTGCCTATTGCGCGTAGTCAGCGTTGGGATCAGGCCGTCGCTCCTTGACTGGATGCGGCTTGATTGCCCCCTGGTAGACCTAGACAAATCGCATGCGACGAGCGTGCCCACCTCGTCTTTGGAATGCCTTTTAATATAAAAAGCAAGGTTGCGCTTCTGTTGCGAGGTGAGCGTAAGATCCTGCCGCGGCAAGCTGTCGTCTAAAATCTCTGAGAGCGGCGCGCCTTTCACCTTGAAATAATCTGGCGCAACTGCAGGAACAGGCGATGCAAAGAGCGAAACTTTCCTTCCGCACAGATACACGCGCTTGCGATTTTGAGGAATGCCCAGAGGCGCCGTGAAAACCTTCCAGGTCCACACAGCCCATCCTGGCCCAAGATTGGCGGATAGCCACTCCTCAACAAAAGCTGCAGGACACTTCTGGCCATCCTTGGAATCCAGCATGCCCAAGACGTTTTCCAGTACAAACGCTTCTAAGATGGATCCAGCCCTCGAGGCCTGATCTTTGATGCATTCCAGCGTTTGCATGAAACAATTGCTACGAGGATCCCCCCAGCGAGCCTCGTGCCCGCTGCGGCTAAACGGCACGCAGCTCGGTCCAGCAACGACCATGTGGGCATTCGGGATCTCGCTGAGGTTCACCTGTAGCGGGTTGGCTCTTGAAACATGCGTACGTCCAAGACTTCTTCCCCCAACTCAAGTTCACGCGCATCGACGTCACATGTCCAAACCACGTGGTGGACCCATTTGCTAGCGCGCTTTCGCGGCCTAGTGCCTGAGTGCGCACGTGTGCATCTGTATGCACGTGCGTATGTACGCACGTGCATACATGCAGTACGTACGTATGCATTTGTATGTATGCGCGTACGTTTGGATTTGTATATACGTGCGTATGTGCACATGCGCGCAATGTGTGCATGCATGTACGTATGTACGCGCGTACATATGTGAGCGTGTGCGCTTGTATTTTTGGTACGCATGTACGTAAGCACGTATCTTCAGTTGTATGCGTGTACGTGCGTGCGCGCGAAATGTTTACACTTGTGTGATCTTGGGTCGACACTTGTGTGCGTGCGTCGCATTCGTCCCGATACGCCGTGCAGCGTGATCATGCCATCGAAAAAAAAAACTCATATACCCTCCCCAGCCTCCTCAAAACCCCTCCTCTTTTCTTCCTTGTTTTCTCCTCACCCGTGCTTTAGCTGCGTCCTCCTCTTCCTCCTTCTCCTCCTCCTCCTCCTCCTCCTCCTCCTCCCCCTCCTCCTCCATCTCTTTCACCTCCTCCTCCTCTCCTTCCTCCTCCTCCGCCTTCTCTGCGTTCTCCTCCTCCTCCTCCTCCTCCTCCTCCTCCTCCCATTCCTCCTCCTCATCCTCCTCTCCTCTCCTCCTCCTCCTCCTCCCCCCTCTCTTCCCCTCCCCCTCCCCTCCTCCTCCTCCTTCCTCCTCCTCTCCTCCTCCTCCTCCTCCCCCTCTCCTCTTTCTCTTTCTCTCCCTCCTCCTCCTCCTCCTCCTCCTCCTCCTCCTCCTCCACCTCCTCCTCCCTCTCTGGCAATTTTCTGCAGCTGACCTGCGTGAAATCCGAAGGGGCGTGCACCCCCGACGCATCGCCGTCGGCCGCGAAGACTGCCTGGTCGTACAACCAGGGCTCCATATCGTAGCAGTGGCTCTTCACATTGATGTCCATCTGGGGCGGGCCCAAGCACGACGCACGTCGAAAAAAAACACGTTTTGGAAGCACCACCCACCATCTTCGGCACAATCGTCGATAAGCTTAGCGTCGGTGCCAAGCATTCCGAGGATGTCTCAAGCAAACCGGGGCGACGGGGCCCGCCTGGCCGACAATTCGGCGCGCGAGGCGAATCTATCGATACTGGAACCCAGCGGATGGAGGCTTGTCACTGGAGCCTTGAAAGGAGGAGGAGGAGGAGGAGGAGGAGGAGGGCGAAGGGACAGCTGGGGGAGGAGGAGGTGGCTGGAGGGAGGTAGGAGGATGATGATGAGTGCCATCATCCGACTGGCAGCCCCCGATATTTGAGCCTCTTCGTGCACCCACGGGGCCTCATTGAACGCAATCGTGGCCGTCTCCAGGCCGCAGCATGGGGCAATGATTGTGTAGTTGTCGGGCGGGTTGCCGCCCTCGAAAGTCATGATGAATTTCGCCAGGTCCTAGCAGATCGGAAAATAAGGGGGCTGGCCACTCGTTCCTCGTCAACGTTCCTCATCCTACTGTCGTGTCTGTCTTACCTGATCTTCGTTTGGCTTATCCGCCTTACCCCTTTAGTCTCTATCTCACTGACTATCTCTGCATGCCCTCCTCCTCTGGCCCACCTCGACCAGTGGCGTTTCCCCGCGCCCCGCCGAGTTCGACGCTCCAAACTTTTCGATGGAATGCACCCCCGCTTGGGGGAACTAGCATCGGCAGCAGCGGCGAGAAATCTGAGGGCAGATGGGGGAGGGAAGCACGTGTCCTGCCAGTGACCAGCGTGTTCGTACACGTCCTTGGAGGCCACGTGCTTGCTGATATCCGCGAGCCTGAGCGCAATGCCCTTGGCCTTCTTGGTGATCCGATGCTTCACGTGCTTCACCCCCGACATTGCCTTTTGAGACCAACATTTTTTACAGGGGCAAGGCTGCTGTTACACCTCTGCACACAACATAAAATAAAGTCTTGGGGGCCGTTCGATCCCAGCGTTTTTTTAACATAACCACTGCGAAACGTTTTCTACGTTGTCCTCGGGGGCACGATGGCGGCGAGGGAGCGCCGCTGCTATGCGCTGTCTGGTCGGGGTTCTAACAGAGGCGGGTCGGCGTCGCAGTGCCACCCTTGCGCCGAGTGGGGCTTTCTTCGTCCTTCATCCTCCTCCATCCTCCTCCTCCCTCCCCCGCCTCCTCCTGTCCTCATCCTCTTCCTCCTCCTGTCCTCCTCCTTCTTCCCATTCTCCCCCTTCCTCCCTGTCTCCCTCCCTCCGTCTCTCCCTCCTCCTCCTCCTCCTCCCCCTCCTCCTCCTCCTCCCCCTCCTCCTCCTCCTCCTCCTCCTCCTCCTCCTCCTCCTCCTCCTCCTCCCCTTCTCCATCTCTATGGTGATGATTGTGGTGGGCTGGCGATGGTCGGCAATGGCTTTCTTTTTTATGCAATATCTACAAGGCTGCGAAAGCAGAGTTCTTCTGCACTAAAGGCAGCAGCCGTGCTCGCTGAAATATTGCTAGCTCCCAGTTAATTTTGTGGGATGCCGACGCCATGTGAGCTATGCTGAGGTTTAGCGTCTCGTCAAGAAATGTTGAGTAACAACGGGGGTTGCCCTGCACAGGGATACGCTGCGTCAGGTGCACAAACATATGATTTTTTGGCAAACCCTCGCTCGCCGCATCCTCCATCAACGTGAGGTGCCGCAGGCAGTGATACAAAAGTCTCTGGCAATCGTGCCATTCAACATACAGGCCATTAGCACGAAGGATATCCATGTAGCTCAGCAAGTCGCTCCCAGCGTCAGCATACGTGTCCCGATGCGGAAACTGCTCGCCACCACGTCTGCTGCAATATTCGGCCACCCACCGAACTAGTATCCCAGTTTCGGCCGCTTTCGTTTTGAGTTCAGGTCTTGTTTTCCCTTTGATCATTGCAGGCGTTAGTTGAGACAACTGGTAATCCCGTGGTATCGCGTTGTCCCTGCACCATTTTTTGTAATCGCTGAATAATCTCTTGAGGGTTTCCGCGCGCCTCACTTCCACTGGCCCTGTGATGTTAAACACGTTTGCACCAATGACGGCAATCAAAATTGCAAGCACGTACGTCTGGAAAACTCCCAAATACATACAATGTAGAGTATCTAGGTGCAGCAACGAATCAGGAGTAGAGCCTATCCCAGGACTGAACAATGGGTTTCGACGCAAAACCCACGATGCAATCCGCCCTCGGTCGTCCACCTTTGGCATCCAGAAAACAGCAGTAAATGGGAGCCCCCGAGATTCGAACTGGTTCGTGTCTAGGAGATGTGATGACGGTTCCAGTCTGTCACCTTTCTTGAGCCCCAGGGCAGGGATGTCCGATGCAAGAACGCGCCCAAGCGGCTTGCGACTCCTAGCAAAGCGCAGCATCCCACGTTCTAAAATGATGTCCCGAACAACGTCGTCGACGATATCCACTTTGATTTCGTGGCTGGCACATTCCTCATCGTACGTGCGATCACGCTTTCCCCAGCTATCCCTTTCCAAACTCACATTGGTGTAATCGAACATTGTCAACTTCGTACAGGCACATAAAAACAAGGGGCGTGATACGATTGCCAGGTTGGAAAACCTAGAGTGCTGCTCAGTTCAACCCAATCAGCTTTCAACTGCACCAACAAATATATGGCGCTCAACTGCGGCTCCAAATCACCCGAAACAGAATCATCCGGCCACGCGGTCCCGTCCCAGCGGGTTGTTGGTCGGACGCCAGCCGCTGCCGCCTGAGACAACCACGGAACAACCGCCAAAAAAATACGTTGCATTGGTCATTGGGGCATTGGGGTGCGGGAGGTGGAAGGAGGAGGAGGAAGAGGAGGAGGAGGAGGAACAGGAGGAGGACGAGGAGGAGGAGGAGGAGGAAGAGAAGAAATGAGAGGACCAGGAGGATGCGAGAGAGGAGGGAGGGCACGATATAAACGATGTGTGGGGGGTGAAAATTAACTGCAGTAGGAAGGATTGGCGGCGCCCCCCTCTCCCCCCCCCTCCCTCTCTCCCCCCCCATTCCCGCCCCAGTCCGTTCACAGCCGTCGCCCACCCTCCACTGCCACCCGTTTTATTTGAGATTTGGTTCCGTAGTTTATCTCTGAGTTGGCTCTCGCCGCCCGCCGCGCCTCCAGTGACCAACGAAGGTACTCGAAGATGGGGAAATGGGTGCACCAACCGCGGCAACCGCAATTGCATTGCTCTTTCTTGCTAGTCACTGCGAGGATGTGTCGAGAGCCCGTGCATAAATTATAGATAGTTATTGCGAACAGTGAGTCGGCTCGACCAGGACCTATCGCTCTTGTGTATTTGATCCCATCCATGTACATTGCCACTGGGAATACTGGACGGTCGTCATCAGGTAAATGCCTAAGCGCGTGCTGATTGAACGCCTCAGCCCATTCAGTCGCCTGAGACATCTCGTCAATCTGGACGCCTTTTGATCTCAACATGCTCACCTCGGCTTCAAGACATTCATGGGGCGGGGCCAGTGGTACCTGTTTACTAACGCGGTGCCCTCGTCGACGAACTGGCAAGTCTACGAAGTGCATCTCTGGCACGCTTGCTTGTTCTGGCAGCACGCCCCGAAGATGACTGTTATATTTGCCAGATTGCTTCCCAGGCGGTAACGCCACGGCTCTCAAGAGGCTCCCCGAGGCTCCAGCAGCGATCGCATGATGTGCAAGTAGGCAAACGTCTTTTGCACAGAGCCCCCCTGTCGCCCACAGCGTCAGGAGATGCTCCTCTAGAGGGCCCGAATCGGTCTCAATGGTGGCATCGTCTTGTTGACGACCCCACTCATCGGCTTCCCAAGGAAATTCATCTGACGAGGACTCCGAGACCGACTCGCTGCGCTCCCAAGATCGCTTCCGTTTCGATCTGCCCATGCATATGCAGAAAAAACGACATTGAATTTGAGTTGAACCCAATGGCTACAGACGTGTTTTTTTTTTGGGGGGGGGAGGGGGGGGCGATCGCATGGGGCGGGCCAAGACGCCCCACGACCCGCTGACGGGTGACTAGGTCTCAGGCGAGTTTCGGGTTGCGGGTGAGTCTCGGGTGGGCTCTTCGGATGCCATCCGAACATTTCTGAACATATCGACCCCTCGCTCTCACGCGGTGGGGCGGGCGGCGGTAGCGGCGGTGAACTACAATATTTATATGTTTCTGCAGCGGGGAAGAAGGGGTTCACGGGGGTGCCGTGGTCGCCACGGCTAGGGTCGCACAGAAATCAGAATCCAAATATTGTGTTTTTTTGTTGTTGCGAAGGCGACGAAAACGAATGAGATGTGTATAAGTGGGCCTTTCGTCGCCAAGGTTGACATCTCAAGACTGGTCAGAAGACATTAGTGGGCGGCAGCGGCGACGGCGGCAGCGGCCGCAACATGTTTCAAACGACGGGCCGCGAGAACCCCCTCGTCGCCACGGCGGTTATCGCCTCGAAATCTCCATCGGAGCGAGCCCAATATGATAGACAACGGCAACGACTGCTGCCTCAATCCATCGTTTTTGTTCGCGTGGGAGGCCCCTGGGAGTCGCCTTGTCGCCGCGGCTGGAACGCCTCGACGCAGCTGAGATCGTCAGAACGTGCTTTCGGGGCGGGGCGACGGCGGCGGCGGTGGCGGCCTGTACCCTCCCCCGCAGAAATGGTGCGATCCTGCGCGTCGCGCCCGACGACCGTGGCCCCGCGCGCGTGGTTGCGCGTCAAGTCGCCGAAGCTGTCGTCGAGGGCCCGAGCACGATGCGGCGGCGGAAGAGGGAGAGGGGGGAGTGGCGAAGACGCACTTGGAACGTTCGGCAGTGAGGGGGCCGAACGGTCTTATACTCGTGGCCGAGCTGCATATACTCGTGCGCCTGCGATGGCGGCGAGCGCCCATGCATCTTATCTGCAAGTCAGAAGGGTGAGAGAGGCATGCTCATCGTCTCCGCCAATCCTCAGGAGGAGGAGGAGGAGGAGGGGGAGGACGAGGTGGAGGGGGATGGGGGGGAGGAGGAGGGGGGGGAGGAGGAGGAGGAGGAGGAGGAGGAGGAGGAAGAGGAGGAGGAGGAGGAGGAGGAGGAGGAGGAGGAGGAGGATAAGGACGGAACACCAGCAAAAAGGCTACGCAGGGTCACGCTCTGGTAGTTTCTAAAGCCCCCTAGTGATTTTCAAGGTCCACCAACCGACTCAGACCCCGCCTGGATTGTCCCGAGGTCAGGCACTGCGCAATCTTGAGCACGTAAACGAGCAACCTGGGATTCTGGAACAAAAAATGTGATTTGATTGCGTTCGGAGCAGGTTTCAAATTCACTTGGTTTTCACCCGATTCCCACCCGGTTTTCACCCGGTTTTCACCCGGCCTGTTTTGTGAGGATGTATCAGGCGAAATCGTGGTTTCCGAAAACTCACCCGGTTTTCACCCGGTCCCCACCCTGTTTTCACCCGGCCTATTTTGGCCGTTCGTTGTCCACGAATCGAGCGCCCAGGACATCATGAGGTCAAAAAATGCAAAGCGTCTGCGTTCTTCTCTTTTCCTCACTGCGCTGATGCGGATCCGATCAGCCAACCCTGCAGCATCGCGCAGCCTGCGCGATGAAAATGTCGCACTTGGCAGCTCCCTGCCAGCCTCCGTCTGCCCCCGCGGGGCCAAAGTCTCGTGACACGTCAGAGCTTGCGTCAAAAGTATTCTATTTCCCCCTGCAGCAGAGATCTTCTGAGATATTCGGTAATTCTCATACCTCGCATCTGTTCCTCCCTCTCCTTACCTTCCCTCTCCTAACCCTCCCTCCTCTCTTCCCTTCGAGTTATCCATCTTATTCCTTACCATCCCTTCGCCATCGCATGGTATTGTTCCATCATTAACGATTCACTTGTCGCATCACCGCAACGCTATTAACTAGCAGAATATGTCTCTCTGCTGGGGTACTCGGTTGAAACAGCACCGATGACGTGCTGATGTAAAATAGCGCAAGCTCACAATAATGTTGTATTTCACCTACTGCGAGGGGCGGTCGTCGGCCTCGAGGTCCCTGATGCGGGCGGTCAAGGTGCGGACCTTCTCGGTGGCGGCCTGCAGCTCCTCGATCGCGGTCATCGAGCCGTGGACGTCACCCAAGAAGTATTGCGAGAGCTGCGAACCGTACAGCACTTGGTTGTTCAAGTCTGCGTTCTCCTGGAGCTTCGAGGTGCACTTCCCCATGGCCTTCTCGAGCCCGCCTTTGAAGCGGTCGTTGTCTGCCCACGACATGGTGCCATCGGCGATCTCTTTGATCAATGTGGTGGCGCGCTCCTTGGCTGCTGAGTACTCGCGCGTGACATCCAGCGCCTTCGAGATGAGCGACTTGGGAGTGGGGGTCTTCGTCGCCGCGCTGCCCCTGCTGGAGCTGGCCTTGCCCTTGATGCTCTTGGAGTGCTTGCCCTTGCCCTGCTTGCACTTGCCGTCTTTGCATTTCTGGCCCTTGCTCGGGGAGTCGCCCTTGCCCTTGCCAGCTGGCTGCGGGGGCTGTGGCTTGTGTTGTGGCGTCTCGATTGGTGCGTGGCCGCTCTTCGGCGACGGCGCGATCCCCTGTGGTGGCTGTCCTGCTCCTGCGCCGCTAGCTGCTGCGCCGCTAGCTGCCGCGCTGGCTGCTGCGGTGGCTGCAATCGCGCCTGCCTTCGGCGCGGTGATCAAGCGGACAGGATCCCTGCTCTCAGTCCTGGTCCACCGCGTGGTCTTCACGTTCTCGGTGGTATCCGAGTCGAAGACGCGGCGGAATTCCAGGCGCTTGCTGTCTTGGTTCACCCGAACGTGCCTGCCGCCCCTCTTCATTGCTGCCATCGCGCGATTCATCGCCCCTTCCACGGCAGCGGGAGTGGGCGGCGCTCCCCCGCCGCCCATTTCTGCCGTGATTAGCCCTTCAAAGGTGAGGAACTGGCCGACCGACGTCTCCTTTTTGATCATCTCCTGCATCTTCTGGCGTGTCTCCTGGAGATCAAGGAGCAGATAGAGGGCGACATGGGGGAGAAGGATGAGAAGGATGCGGCGGAAGGAGAATGAGAGGGCCGCTCCGAGTACTCGTCGTACAGCTCTTTCGCCCAGTCCTTGATCCGCTGCTTCCTCTCCCTGCCGCCCATGGCCTCCCACTTGGCGTACTCTGCCTCGCAGCTGTTGCGCCACAAGTAGTAGCGCTTCCCGAGGGCGGACGATGAGTTCACGTTCAGGAAGCCCGTCGCCGCGGCCTCCTCGAGATGGCCGTCGCAGTGCTCGCCCAGCTGTCTATGAACCCGCTCGGCCATCTCCGAATCAGCTTCGTCATCGCCACTCGCCTCGGGCACCCCCAGGTTCGACTCGGCGAACCTCTGCATCAGGAGACGCTCGAAGTTCATGCCCTCGCACAGGCAATGACTATTGCCAGCATCAACGCCACTCGTCAACATCATCATTCACTCTCGCCTCATGCTGTTGCTGCTGCTGCTGTTGCTCTATCCCCTCCCCATCCTCAATATATTCCTTATCGCTCTCCTGCTCCTGTAGGCTTCTATATCGCGGTCTCTCCTAATGCTGTTGTTCCTTCCCTTCTCTTCCTCCTCTTCCGCATCGTGTTCCTCGTCCTAATTCCCTCCGTCTCCTGTTACCCCCCTCCTCCTCCTCCTCCTGGCCCCTCCTCCCCCCCTTGCATCCTTCTTCCCCCATGCGCCGCCACCTTCCTTCCTCCGATCGACTCAGCAACAGAGCGCGCATTCCAGCCTGGACCAGCACCGTCTGGCGGCCCTCGCGGCTCTGATCGGCTTCGGCCAGCGTCGCCTGGCGCAAGCAAGCGCGGGAAGAGGGCGACGACAACGAGGCAGTCGAGCAAGAGAGAAAGAGAGAGAGAGAGAGAGAGAGAGAGAGAGAGAGAGAGAGAGAGAGAGAGAGAGAGAGAGAGAGAGAGAGAGAGAGAGAGACGAGAGAGAGAGAGAGAGAGAGAGAGGAGAGAGAGAGAGAGAGAGAGAGAGAGAGAGAGAGAGAGCGAGAGGGAGAGCGCGAGCAAGAGAGGGGGAAGAGAGATATATATAGAGAGAGAGAGAGAGAGAGAGGAGAGAGAGCGAGAGAGAGAGAGAGAGATGAGAGAGAGAGAGAGAGAGAGAGACCACGAGGGGAAATGACAGCGCGGCGAGGGGGTGAGCGAAAGGGAGGAGGAGGATACTGATGGGGGGAGAGAGGAGGAGGAAGGTGAGGAGGAGGAGGGTGAGGAGGAGGGGGGATGAGGAGGAGAAGGAGGAGACGGAGGAGGAGAAGGAGGAGCAGGAGGGAGGAGGAAGGGAGCAGCAGCAGCAGCAGTCAAAATATGAGGCGGAGAAGAAGGGGACGTGGAATCATCGCGAGAACAGGCGGAAGAAGAGGAGGTGGAGGAAGACACACATTGAAAGAATACGCCTAACGTATGGAGGAAGCGGGTGGAGTGAAAGGTGACGGTGATATTGAAGAGAATGGGTAGTTAAGCGAGCGTTGGATGGAGTGGTCGAGGCTTCAGTACGAACTTCGAGTTTTAGAATGGATCGGGCTAGGGCGAGAGATTCAGTTTCGTTTTATGTTGAGGATGGTTTGTAAAGGCCAATGTTTTTTTTCAGCTGCACAACGCGCTCGAAAACGTATACTCACAAAGGCAACGTCTTCCGCCTCCTGACCCTCTCCACCCCCTTCCCGTCGTCGTCGTTCTCCTCCTCCTCCTCCTCCTCTTTCTACTCCTTCTTCTTCTCCTCCTCCTCCTCCTCCTTCCTCCCTTCCTTCCTTCCTTCCTTCCTTCGTTCCTTCCTTCTTTTCGTTCTCCTTCTCGTCGTCGTCGTCCTCCTCCTCCTCGTCTTCCTCTTCCTCCCCCTCCTCAGTCATCCTCCTACTAGCCTGTGGGCTCACCCATCGGCGCGCTCATCAAGCTCTGCGCTGCCGATGCCTACTCGCTGTCAGACGGTGGCGACAGGCACATCTTCTTCGCAGGAGGCTGGCGCTCTGGGCTGTCACCAGTGTTCATCCTGGTCTGCGGCGTCCTCGGGATCGAGCGGTCTGCCGCTGGCTTAGCAGCGGAAGGCTTTGCCGCTGCCTGGGCTGGAGCTTCGGGCTCGGCCTCGGGCTTGACCTCGGACTTGGGCCCAAGTGGGGCTGAGGCCTCGGGCCTGACCTTGTCCGCGAGCTTCCCCGCGGAGTCAGCCGCGGGCTCGGAGGAAGGAACATCATCCGCAGCAGTCGGCAAGTTCGGAGCGGCAGCCGCCGGCCTCTTCATCTCGGCCGCGCACGCTGGCTTCTTCATGCGCTTGCCGTCGCCCTGTATCTTGAGCCCATGGAGCTCGAAGAACGACTTCTTCAAATCGAACGCCTCTTCGTTGTTCAGTTCGCCGTCTGCCATCTTCTGAGCGACGGAGTTCCCCCGCTTGATGGCCAACTTGTCCAGTTCCTCCTGGTCGGCGCCCTTCTTGAAATGCTTAGTATCGATTTGGAACAACTGCTGGCCATCGACATGGATGCACACCAAGCGTTGCGGGGGATGGTCCTTCCTGTTGTTGTTGCGGAGGAAGGACTCAATCACTGCCCCCTCCGCGTTCGTGCCACGGAAACCTTTGTTGGCAGCATCGCGACCCTTGGACGGCTTACTAGCGGTCGCCTCCTCCCCACGTGCTGCAGCCTGCCAACGCTTCACGGTCAGGTTCGGGATCTTGACACTGGTCACGCTCCCGTCGCGCTCCTTGAAAATCGCGACCATGGGGTCTGATGGCCTTGCCGTCTCTGAAGGCTGCTGCATTTCGAACGCGTACCCTGGCACATCTTTCGAGCCCCTGCGCGTCCTGTGCGCCATCTTCGACGAGTTGTCGTAGCCGTAGTCGTAGTCAATGCGTGTGATGGCTGCTTTGGTGGGTTTCTTGTCTGCAGATGCGCCCTGCGACTTGGCATTCTTCTTCGGCGCGGCCGTCGCTACCTGCGCCTCGTCATCGCTAAGAGCCAAATCAGGGTCAGCTTGGATCTCGCTCTCAGCGTCCTCCTCCTTGCCCCCGTCGGCCTCGTACTTGTCATCGCCCATGTCGCCCTCGTCCTCCGCCTCCTCGGGCCCGTCGGATCCATCGCCACTGCGAAACTTCAGAGCCTTGAACCATTTGGGCGGGGACTTCTTCAGCATGTACTGGCCGCAGTGCCGTAGTGCTGCTTTCACTCGCTGGCCCATCTCCTCGGCCCATTGCTTTTTCTCGCGAGAGTTTTTGAATGTGATCGAGTTGCTTCTGGCGACCTTCAGCAACTCCTTCGAGATATCAGTGCGCTTAATTGCGAGAGTGGGCGACACCTCTGCAGACAACAAACTTAGCAACAAGCGCCTGAACAAGTGGCGAACACGGTGCTCGCGGTCAACTTCATTTGAATGTTCACCACATTTCCATTCCATGGAATGGTGTCCGAGTGGCGTCAATTCAAATGTCAGTTTCGCGCGTGCTGCCCGTGTGCAACGTTTCTTCGGACGTTGGTTAGTAAGCTAACCTTAAGGAACTTCTTGATGCTCTCTGCGTGGACTTGGATGGCCTGCTTCTGTATCCCCGCCGAGTCGCAATACTTATACTTGAAGAAGCCAGCCTTCGTCGCCCATGGTTTCAAGACCAAGGCCAAGTCTGAGAACTGGCCCTCGTCGCCGCACTCTGACTGCGACGACATTTGCAAACAATCTGCCTAAGCCGAAACGGCTACGGATGATGTGGCGCGTTGGCTAAAAAACTCTCGCCTCCTCGCTCCTTCGCCCTCTCGATCGTCGCCGCGGCTGGGCGCTGCTCGGAGAATTGATCAAAGTCGTTCCTGGGAAGACGCGCAACGGAGCGGCCGGGGTCTGTTCAAGCTGCGGCAAAGCTTTCGTGCCCAACAATTGCCCCAACTGGCCCCCTTAAGGGCCTCCATCTCCCAAGCGGTTTCTCAGAGCCCGTAATTGCATGCCCCTAGAGCCTGACATGTAAGACACCATCATATGATATTCGTTCTTCGTCATTGCCCCTCTCCTCGCGCACCCCTTCCGTTATCATGCCGCGTGGCCGTGAGATTTGCGAGGTAGTTTCTTGGGGTGCCCGACCTAGCTCTACGTTGCCCCTGAGACTGAAGCCACGAAAAGGATGATGACGTTCAGTTTGCTTCCTCGTGAATCCTATCTCCAGGAGCGCCATCACGTCGATGACGGACGACGCCGACAAAAACGACGATCGAGAGGAAGGGAATGAATGATACGCAGGGCGGCGAGGGAGCGAGAGGGGTAGAGAGGAGCGAGTGAGAGAGAGAGAGAGAGAGAGAGAGAGAGAGAGAGAGAGAGAGAGAGAGAGAGGGGCAGAGAGGAGCGAGAGAGAGGAAGAGGGATATAGGACAACAAAAGCCAGCATCCCCGCGGCGGCCTCGGCCGTCTCGCGAAACTGCTCGTTGATGTCGTCGAGCGCGATGAAGTCGGTCTCCTGGCCCGCCTGCGGCAAGCGCGCGGGGGGCGCGGTAGGCCGTGCGTGACAGGTGAGTTTTGGGTCACTTTCGGGTGAGTTTCGGGTGAGTTTCGGGTGATATTCGGGTGAGTTTCGGGTGAGATTCGGGTGAGTTTCGGGTGAGATTCGGGCGAGGTTCGGGTGAGTTTCGGGTGAGATTCGGGCGAGTTTCGGGTGAGATTCGGGTGAACTTCGGGTGGGTTTCGGGTGAGTTTCGGATGAGTTTCGGGTGAGTTTCGGATGAGTTTCGGGTGAGTTTCGGGTGAGATTCGGGTGAGATCCCCCCCACCTCCCTCCCTCTCCTGATTCCTCTCCCTCTCCGCGGCGCCTGCGCGGTTGCAGCTCCCGCTACGGGGTAGAGCTGCGTCTCGGCGGTTGCGTCCTCCTTGCCGTCGGCGCCCTCCTCGAAACCGGCCTGCGGGCGCGCTCCAGGGGGGGGGGGGGGGGCGACGCATCTTGGCGGGGGAGGCGCGAGGACGGGGGTGGCTGGGGAGCTCGACCCATCCAGCAATTTTATTTCTCAAACAAACAATACCACGGTGCAGAGCGGAGCCCTCTCACCCCATCCCCTCGAGATCGCCCATGTTGGCGACGACATCGGCAGCGAACGCCGAAGCCCGCCCCGCTGGCAGCGAAAACCTTGAAAGCCCCTCCGAACTGTTGTCTGCGTTTATACGTTGTTGTCCTCGGGGTGTTTCGATGCAAAACGATCCTCTCTCCTCTTCCTCTGCCTCCTCCCCCTCCTCCTCCTCATCCTGGTCGGCATCCCCGCCCCCCATCTCTTGGGGCGCCGTGCGGAGGAGATGAGGGGGGGAGAACGGAGGAGGTAGGAGTTGAGGAGATCGGAGGAGGAGGTAGGTTCTACAATCAAGGGCTTGCGCCAATCCGCACGACCCACGATTGCCGATACTCCCCCCACGAGTGATTCATCAACTGCCCCCTTGAGACTCCTCGATGCGCTGCTTTTTCTCCGCGAGCTCGTTCTCCTTGTCGGCCTTCTTCTTCTGCTGCTCCTCGGCGAACTGCCTGAACTCGTCCTCAGCGCGGCGTATGGCTTCGGCCCCTTCGATCTGCCCCTGCTTCCGCTTGAGCATGTCCCTGGCGATGGCATTCCTCTGCTCGAGCGTCAACTGCGATCCTGCTCCTGCATCGGGATCGCCTGCAGGCACGGTGCTCGGCGCGCCTTCGTCGGTGCTGAATTCATACGGCGGCTGCGCATCTGGCAGCGGGCTCTCACTGGGCTCGTCCCAGCGATGATCGTCTCGAGACTTCGAAGGCATGACGAGCGGCTTCTCGTCCGAGTCCGAGCTCTCAGCCTCCGCGGCATCTTCTGGTGGAGAAAGCTTCTGCAGCTTTTTCGGCGGCTCGCCAGCTGGCCTAGCGCCGCTGCCGCTCTGACCCTCCTCTTCGGACGACAGGAGGATGGGATCGTTCACCGTGGGCGCCACCTCCGCCTCCGCCATGGGCGGCGCCGCCTGCAGATCCTGCTCGAGGAGTCGAGGACTGAGGATCAAGCAGAGCAAGTTCGACAACGAAGAAGGATGAGGAGGAGGAAGGGGAGGAGGAGAAGGAGGAGAAGGAGGAGAAGGAGGAGGGGTGGTAGGAGCTTCGGGATCGAGGAGGACGACAGCAAGGATGTGGAGGATAGGACGGCATGAGAGTACAGGAGGAGCACGATGAGACTTGTCCGAGGATTGGAGACAAGAGAGAGAATGACGAAGAGGAGGAGGAGGATGAGGAGGAGGAGGAGGAGGGAGAGGCGGAGCAGACTCGTCGGGGGGTGGGGGTGGAAGAGCAACAGCAGGAGGAAGATGACAATAATATATTGTTAATGTCATGGCTGGTGCTGGGCAACCTTGTCGGCCCGCTCCTGCGCGAGCTTGGCGGCGCGCTCCTGCTGCAAGTTGGCCACCGCGCGCCCGCCGGCCTCGGCGCCCTCTCGGGGGACAGCGGGATCGAACGAGGAGACGAGAGGAGGAGGAGGAGGAGGAGGAGGAGGAGAAGGAGGAGGAGATGGAGGAGGAGGAGGAGGAGGAAGAGGAGCAGGAGGAGGAGAGTGAGAGAGAGAGAGAGAGAGAGAGAGAAGAGAGAGAGAGAGAGAGAGAGAGAGAGAGGAGGAGGACGAGGAGAAGGAGGGCGGGCAAGTAGAGGAGGAAAGAGATAAGGAGAAGGAGTCCTCGTTCCTTTGCTCCTATAGGAGCAAAGGAACGAGGACTCCTTCTCCTATAGGGGAATAGAATGGGGCATCTGAAACAAGAATTCCACACCCCCTCGCTTTAGATTTCCCCCCTGCGGTCCACGGCGGCAGCTGCGGCGCCGTGCTCGTGCGCCATGGCGCCGCAGAGGTTCGCGAGCAAGCTTAAGCGCCCTCTGTCGGCGCAGGGGCAAGCACCCGAGCAACGCAGCATGCGGACGAGGAGGGGGGGTGGAGGGTGGAAAAGACGACGAGCAGCGTGAGCGTACAATCAAGGTGTCACGTCGATCGGCGGCGCTCGATGTCCACTGCCTGCACGAGGCGAATTACATCTTAGACTGCCTCATTTGAAGCGCGGTGATGCATTGTTTCTTAAGAAACAATGCATCGTTATTTATAATTATAATTAAAATTAATGATGCATCTATGAATCATTCATATATGAATGTGGAAGACGAGCGGGAATGAGCTAATCTGCTAAGTGTGTTATCCATAACAAATTAGTTTCAGATGATTTTTCCGAAAAAAAAAACATGTTGTTTTGAAAACATAAAGTGTTTTTAGCCAGATTCAAATTTTCAGAAAATTTGGACCTCTGGGCATCTACTCGGACAGGCGTCGGCGGCAACGACTCGCCCATGCCCGGGCAATCTCCACTAGGCATGGGCGAAGGGCAGCGAGAACGGACCGCGCTGAAATCGGAACGGACGGAGGGCCAAAGGTCGAGCGTCTCTGACCCCGCCGCGCGAGAAAAAAATGAAAAGTGGCCGACCGCAGAGACAACAGCGGTCGGCGAAGCATGAAGATAAACGTGAGATGACCGACCGTCGACTCAAGCTGGCGCCCAGTCGCGGCGCCACGGTCGAGCAACCGCGCCAGAAAGCTGTCGGGCTTCAAAATGCGACCAAGCGAGGTGGCGACGAGCCCGGAGTGACCATTGATGCTTGCAACCAGCACCCCCGTCTCCTGACGCACCTAAACGCGCTCGTGCGTCGCCGGCCCCACTGTGTCCAGGACCGCGCAGGCCTGGTCCATCTGCGCCCGCGCCCCGCACGGCCGGCCGCACAGCGCGCCCGCGTTGCCCGCGCGGACGCAGCGCAGAGGTCGGCCGCCAGCCGTGATCAAGCACAAACCGCCGAACGTCTGCAAACGGCGAGACGCTGGCGCGCCCGCGGCCGCCTGGGACCCGACGGGCGACGGCGGCCCGCGCGAAGTGCAACGACCACTGCAAGCCCATCGGGGGCACCCCGAAGCACGGGTGCACCCAGCGGCCCCCCGTCAGCCGTTCGCCTTCGGCAGCGTGAAGGCCGAGTTCCTCCGCGCGGGTGGGGGGGCAGGCCGAGGCGCATGCTCAGCTCGACATGAATCTTGAAGCGGTTGAACGCGCCCCGCGCGCCCCCGGTGCTGACGAACACCTCCGCGTCGACATCCACCTCGATCATGCCCGGGGACTCGGCGGCGCCCAGTTGACCTCAAGGCGGGCCGCGAAAGCGACACTTGCAGCGGCGGGCGTCCACCGCCAGACTCTGCCTCCCAGACCCCCCCCCCGCGCGAAAGACGGCGGCGCGCTCCTTCGACGAAGCGCACCATCGCAGCACCTTCTCCGGGCGCTTGACGAAGCGGATGCATGCCTCGCGATCGCCAGACATGTTGCGGCCCATGTGCGGCGCGATGGACTCCGCGCTGCCGGGCACCCCCCAATTCGCGAGGCCTGACCTGGCAATGTGCTTCTCGAAACCTGCCGGCACGTTAACAGCCTCGGGCGGCGCGACGTCTAGGGCAGCCCTCGCAAGACGTCGGGGCCGAGGGAAGCTCCTCCTGGCAGTCGACCACCGCGTGCTCCTCCGGGTCGTAGCCGGCTCGGAATCGCAGAAGCGCGCGCGCGGCTTCGCGCGGGCGAAGTACTGCGGCGACAGCTTGAGACGCCAAGATGACGCCCCTCACGCGCTGGGCGGCCTCGGACTGGGCCAGCGAGGGGACCGCCGAAGGCGCCGCGTCCAAGCCGCGCC